GGTTCTCCCAGATTAGAGTCCGCGCATTTAACCACTACACCAGAAGAAGAAAAAGAAGGAGAAGAAGAAGAGGAGGAGGAGGAGATTGGATTTATACCCCGCCCTTCACTACCCAAAGGTGTCTCAGAGCGGCTTACAAACTCCTTTCCCTTCCCCTCCCCACAACAGGCGTCCTGTGAGGTAGGTGGGGCTGAGAGAGCTCTGACAGAAACTGCTCTTTTTTCAAGAACAGCTGTGCCAGAATTATGGCTTGCCCAAGGTCATGCAGCCAGCTGCAAGCGGAGGAGTGGGGGAATCAAGCCCTGGTTCTCCCAGATTAGAGTCCACACACTTAACCACGACACCAAACTGGCTGTGTAGTGGGCCTTAACTGGCAGAGGGGTGGTCCTTCACCAACTTTCTGACTTCCCTGCCGTGTCGTTGGGAGTGCTGTAAGTTTTGCGGACATTTTTTTTAAAAAAACCCCAAGCACTGGCATAACAGGTAGCTGGCAATATCCGCACAGAGCGGCATGTTTACCCTGGCGAAGCCGGACCCGGCTGGACTGTCGTCCAGGCTGTTGGGGGTAGAGGCCAGCTCGTGCTCAGAGATAGGCTGGTATCAAAGGGCGCCCTTATCTGATGCATGCACAGGGGCACATTGTCTCTGCCCGTCTGCCCGTGTGCTTATTTTAGCCCGGGGCTGGCACTGCCTGCCTCCCGCGCCAATCACCAGCCTTGCAGAACTGATCTTAGAGCTGATCTTGCGTTTTTTTTGGACAGTTGCATCATTTGAGACTCTCTGCATCTGAAGGTCTCGGTTGCGTCATCGTACAGTCGAAGGCTTTCGGTATCGTGCCAGAGGTCAAGAGCTGGTTACGGGTTTCCCACTGCTGGGCTTCTACGTGATGAAGCTTTATAGCCAGGGTGGCAAGAACATAAGAGAGAAGCCAATGCTGGATCAGGCCAGTGGCCCATCCAGTCCCACACTCTGTGTCGCACAGGGGCCAACAATACCAGGGGCCATCAGGAGGTCCACCAGTGGGGCCAGAACTCCAGAAGCCCTCCCACTGTGCCCCCCCAAGCACCAAGAATACAGAGCATCACTGCACCAGACATAAGAACATAAGAGAAGCCAATGTTGGATCAGGCCAATGGCCCATGAAGTCCAACCTTCTGTGTCACATAAGAACATAAGAGACGCCAATGTTGGATCAGGCCAAAGGCCCATCCAGTCCAACACTCTGTGTCACACAGTGGCCAGAAATACCAGGTGCCATCAGGAGGTCCACCAGTGGGGCGAGGTCACTAGAAGCCCTCCCACTCTTGGCCCCCCCAAGCACCAAGAAAACAAAGCACCGCTGCCCCAGACATAAGAACATAAGAGAGAAGCCATGTTGGATCAGGCCAGTGGCCCCTCCAGCCCAACACTCTGTCACAGAGTGGCCAAAAGTACCCGGTGCCATCAGGAGGTCCAGCAGTGGGGCCAGGACACTAGAAGCCCTCCCACTGTTGCCCCTCCCCAAGCACCAAGAATACAGTGCATCACTACCGCAGCCGGAGAGTTCCTATCTATACCTTGTGGCTAATAGCCACTGATGGGCCTCTGCTCCACATGCTTATCTAATTCCCTCTTGAAGCCGTCCGTGCTTGTAGCCGCCACCACCTCCTGTGGCAGTGAATTCCATGTGTGAATCACTCTTTGGGTGAAGAAGGACTTCCTTTGATCCGTTCTAACCCGACCGCTCAGCAATTTCATGGAGTGCCCACGAGTTCTTGTATGGTGCGAAAGGGAGAAAAGGACTTCTTTCTCTCCCTGCTCTATTCCAGGCATAATCTTTTAAACCTCGATCATGTCACCCCTCAGCCGTCGTTGTTTCTCCAGGCTAAAGAGCCCCAAGCGCTTTAACCTTTCTTCATAGGGAAAGTGTTCCAGCCCTTTTATCATTCTAGTTGCCCTTTTCTGCACTTTCCCCCCAATGCTATAATATCCTTTTTGAGGTGTGGTGTAGTGGTCAAGTGGCATCCGGCAGTAATGTCCCTTTCCAGAAACC